TTAACTGTTAAAGGCAAACCCCATTTAAACACAAAACTTTTTAATACCTACTACTGTATCTAAAAGATTTTTTTTTAAATTACTAAATTCTTAGCCACGCTTCTGTTTTTCTTGGCTGTTGTGCGTCACGTCACAGATTAACATGCCCACGTTTGCACCACAAGGCGATGCTGCAGACCACTAGGTAGACAATTTATGTTATACAACTTGTAATCTACACTATCTAGCTTTTTTTCTTTTAAAATGTGTTCAGATTTTGTAAAAAGTATAAGTCAAAATCGCAAATCTTAAATTTGATATGAGTTTCTTAGTTTTTAACTAATACAGTGGCGAATTACAAAAATTCCTTTTCAATGAATATTAATGAGTTAAATAAAATAATTTAATAAATTACTAGCTTTTTCCCGCGACTACGTTCGCGTTACACCTCAAATCGTTCATGCATTGATTTAAATGATTTTTTACTTCTTTATAGAGAGCTAGTGAGCATAGATGTTTTTTATTTTTCATCTTTTTTTTTATTTATTAAGAGCACTAATACTCTCTTTATAGGTTATTTTTTATTCTTTGAAGGATAATTGAGGAAGATATATTTCGTTATGATGTCACTAAATAAAACCTTGTATAAAATTTTATACTGTCTGCTTTATAATGTTATAGTATTGCATTTTCGTACAGCAAACTTTCATGCCCTATTCTACTCCCTAAGTGTATAAATTTCATAAATTCGCTTTATCTTTGTGCCAATTTTTATGTGTATAATCCAGAGGTCACCAAGTTTAATATAAATTTTTACTAACTTTATCCATTTGGTTGATGAATTTCAAAAAATTCTTCTAATTCTTTTTGTAGGATTTCATTCTTCTAGACCAAATAGTAAGGAATTTTCATACAACAAACTGTTCCGACATAATTTTACTCTCTAAGAGGATGAATTTCCTAAAATCGCTTTGTGTAGCTCATTCACTAATGTCGTTTAAACGAACATTTGTGCATTATAATGACAACTACTTATCGGATAACAAATTAATTACTACTGTCAGCTACTGTCTAGGTAGAATATACCTAGAGTACCTACACCTACCTATGATGTAGGTAGATTAAAGCTTATTTTGACTTTACGTCTCACTTCGGTGTCACAAGCTGAATTTTTCAGGGATGGAAGTACAGTACATGATATGGGGACCCTTATTCCGAAAGTAGTACAAAATTAGACCGGGTAAAGGGCACTATCATCAAAAATCGATATATTAATACCACCGTATAGAGAAAACAAATACTTATTTTTTGATCCAGTACACAATAAAGTCTTCGTAGGGAGTAATTTTTTATAATTATTTACAAAAAAACATTTCCATTAGCGCTTATGACCAAAAAAAACTTTAAACATGAATAACTCATTTCAATCATGCGAAAATTTGTTTTAAAAATAGACTTTTTTTAATATAACTTTCATTTAACGAAAAACGAAGACCTAAATGAAAAGAAGAAACAATTTAAAAGTTTCGCTTATGTCTTGACAAGGTATCAAAGCAAACCCCATATTTTTTGCCTTTAAACTAATAAAGATATATCAATAAACAATTAGCGATGTAATGGTTTTTGCGCGCGCTGGACGACTGCCGCCGCTGCGCCGAGATTTCCTATACCCTTGTATATATGACGTCATGATGTGGCAAATGTAGCATTTTAATTCGATTTGGGCTCCCTTATATAGGATAACAGAAATATTTTCAATGTTAAAAGTATAAAGTGTAATTGAAACCACTAATGGAATTTACTCCACTAATTGCCAGGTTCTGAATGAGGCTTTTTACTACAATATTTTTATTCAAGTTGGGCAAAGACTGTACACTATAAACAGGGGAATTACATTTCTAAAAATTTGTTTTTATTTTAAGCTATCTAAAGACAAGACACAGTAAAAACAAAACAAAAAACTCTTCTTTTATAAGAATTTTCTTGTTTGCTCATTAATTATACAATTATGTGTTGTTTACGTTGCGCTGCTGCACGCACTGGGGGACCAATTACGGAAAAATATAATCGCATCTTGTATGAATACGAGTCGTTAGAGACCGAAATCCTACCGCAACTACAAAAAGACAGTCCCTGGATACTCTGGCCAGACTAGAAAAGGGAAACAAGGACTTTACATGGCCCCAATTATCATAAAAGTTATATATTCTAATTGCGTTCGGGCCTTGCCCAAGCAAAAAGGTTTTTATTGAGGTTGTACGCTCGAGGGTTATCTAATTTTAAAGAGAAGAAGCTGCAGGAAAATAGGGGAATAAAGACGTGAGTTGTAAAGAAGGTTTAGTGCGGAATGGTAAGAAAGATGCAATTCGGGTGGCTATAGTATAGGTTGTTTCAAGTTTTACAGTTTCTTTGGTATTACGTTGGTTATAACTGAATGGCATAAATACTTTAACAATTTTATAAGACAAAAAGAGGATAAAATAGAGGATAAAGCTCGCTAAATTTAATAAAATAATAAATAGTAAAATTATACAATTTTCTAATGTAAAAATAGTTAATTTTATATTGACATTTTAATGCTTGCAGATGTTCTGATGATCTTAAATTTTTGTTCTGTTTGATGTATAGATTAAAAATGGATGTTGATTGAAAGAATTGCCTTATAGGCAAGCATTTTAATTTCATCGTAAGAATCAATTAATGTCTTTGAATGCAGTTTATTCAAATGAATCGTGGCGATTATGGATCTATAATATACTGCCGTTGTTAAGGAAAAACGCCTCAACACAGTTGAGATTCAAGTGTGTAATTAATAAGTTATAGGTATTTTAATTTTTAGGTATTAACAAACCCGGTTATAGGATTTTTTTGAAAATTTGGATTTTTGCACAAATGCTCCATTTGTCTTAATTATTTGCAGCGTTAGAATGTTGCCTCTTCATACTAAAACTGGCAGCATATTTGTCATTTTAAATAGAATACTTATTACCTTAATACTTATTATTACGGTATATTATTACCATTTTTCGAAACTACTTTAATATCTCATAATGTTTCTATTATACTAACCTATAACAGTTTTCCAGAAAAAAAATAAAACATGTCTAAAATTGACTGTGAAAAACATGATCTTCAATAAGCGTTGGTTAAATCATAAATTCTGTATATTGACAGGTGAAATTTGGTTTACAGGTTAAGGAAAGTCGACACATTCGATCTGTCTAAATCATCCGATTAGATATCAAACAGGGATATCAAAATATCTCAAGTCATTGTTATTTTAAATTTAAGCCTATGTAAAAAATCGAAACATAAATAAAATTGATTTTCAATGATATTTCATGTTCCTATACCTAAACCTTCTGTTTGTTCAGTAAAGTCAAAAGATAATCATTCCATTATAATTATTTCGTTTAAAGAAAATCGTTACCATGACAACGCTTGACGAACTTCAAATAGCAGGATTGACTTTTTATACCACTCACTTTGAGGCCCTATACATAGGAATGGTACAATTGGATTGTTATGTGTTTATAAACATTGGCATTGAGGTACCGTATGATTTCTATTATGATCTTGTCTCTCTAAGCGCTGTACAATAAATCTGAACTAAAAGCATAGCTAATGACGTAGTATAGGCGAACAATATGCTTAGTGTATTAAAACATATAGTACGAGAGCTGGCAACGTCGGAAAAACAAGTATTTTAAGACGTCTGGCTCTTTGATATATCTTTTACTATGCTCTCTAAACCAGCATACGTCCCGTCTGGCTGCCGGTAAACGTTGCGTTCCCTACTGCGCATTGAAAGAAGATCCTATATTTTTATTAGTCGTTTAAATTCTAGTATTGAATATAAATCGAACATGTCTCCATAGCGCAGAGCGTAGAGTTACCACCACGAACCGAGGATTCAGAGTTCGAATCCGGGTCAGGGCAAAGAATTTTTTATTTTATTTTCGTTTATATATTCTGATAGCAAATTATTAAATATTTGTTTTTTTTTGAATCACTAGAATTATTTAATGCTTTACTGTCAGAATATAAAAGAAAATAAAAAAGTCTTTGCGCTGACCCGGATTGGTCTGAATCCTCGGTTCGTAGTCGGAAACTCTACGCCCTGCGCTATAGAGACATTTTGGATTTATATTCAATCCTAGAATTTATAGGACTAAATTAAAAAAAAATATAGGATCTTTTTCCGATGCGCAGTAGTGAACGCAACGAGTATCGGCAGCCAGACGGGCCGCATGCTGTTCCAGAGAGCATAGTAAAAGATATATCAAAGAGCCAGACGTCTTAAAATATTTTCTCGAAAACGTTGCTAATAATTAACTCTTAGACTAATAATTAAAAAGGCAGTAGCGAAAGCCAATTAAATTGAAAAAAATAAATGTAGTTAGGTTATTATTAGGTTAAGAGGTAGATTTAGTAGAAATAATGTATATTTGATACAATTAAACTTTTAGTTACGTAATCGAGGGCCCGATTCTTAAATTCATTGTTGCCAACCATGGCAAGATAATCGTCGCCGGGCCGACTAACTGGAATTTAAATTTCCCGCGGGGATTCACGTGGCAGCTCTGCTAAAAATGTCAAATTGCCACATTTATTTATTTATTTCCTTCATCTGTTTTGACATTTTAGTTTTGTACTACAAGTTTTTAGTTTAAACGAATTGTTTTGTGATATTTTAAGCTTAAATTTTTTTACTAGCAGATCTTGCAGTCGAACGTTGTTCTTTTTAGAACCTCTTTTAGTGCGAAGTATACAAGATAGCTTAATAGCCGTAAAAAACTCATCGCAACATTATTAGAACATTTTGAAAAAAAAGCTGTAGTAATGGTAATGGTCCTTTATGTCCGTTAAGTGCTGTTAAGAAGGTGAGTTTTGTTGATGTAAATAATAACTGTTTATATATTTATAATCAATTTATTTTTGTTTCGTAAAATATTCTGATTAAAAGAAATATATATAAAAGGTGGCAACGCTGTGCCCTCATATTAACTATATATACCTACCTTTATGGTGGACTAGTTTCTTAAAAAAGCTGGATACTTTGCCCCGTCATCAGAACCACATTTTGCATACTTCTGAATTCTGAAGATGGAGGGAGATGTAACCTCTGAAACGAGAAAAGCATGAGGTTATTTTTGATCAGATTGAAATTTTTGTTCGCTATCCTTAAAAAATCGTATTACTTTTCTCTACCTAATTAACTGTACTAAAAAGCAAGCAGAACATTTCTTCCTCTACCTGATATTTATTTTATTTCTATCGATTTTAATATCTCTTTTCATAAATACTTTGCGGTAGCAAAAACATGAATTTCCCTGCAATAACAAATTGATATTTTTATTTTCGCTTCGAGACAAATTCAAATCTGACTTTTGTACCTACGCAACAATTTTCCGATTAATTGAAGTCTGACAAATTCAGTTTAAATTTACGTTTGAAGGACGAAATCCAAAATTCAATATAACGAAGTTATTTTACTTTAGCGATCGAAACTTTCCTCTTCAATAATTTCTTCTGCGAGACAAAACATATTGTTTTGGATATTTTTTTGATATTTAATTTGGAAATGGAAGTGCCAGACAAATCGATGGAGTGTTTGTTGTTCTAGCTAAGTATATTGGGGAATAAATAAAATAAAACATTAAAAGGAAAGTTCTTTGGTTTGGGGGGGGGGGACTTGATAAGCGCCAATTAATTAATTTTAGGGTTTACTATATTATAGTAGGTCTAACTGGCCCCTACAAAATGTATAAACTCTAAAGAGCAAAGGTTGTTTAAAATATCTTTTGCCATGCTCTCTGGAAGAGCGTGCTGGCCATCTGGCTGCCGGTAGCCGTTGTGTTCACTCTGCGCATAACATCTGTACAGAGTGTCCCATTTTCGTGTGTTTTAGAGCATTTATCATTTATGAGTGAAGACACAATGGTGCGGTTTTCACATTACTTTGCTACTTTTTTATGAAACTAAATATGCAATAATAAAGTAATAACTAAAAGTATCATTAATAAGGTAAAAAAAGTATTATTTAAATATTTAACATAAATCCACCTAGTTTAAATAGTATTATTATTTTATTTCAATTAATTTAACCAGGAAAATTCTATTTCCATTGTGTTATCTTAACAAAATGAACTGAAAATGAACGTTGAAAGGTATTAAATTACCTAATTTAAACCGGCCGCCTATGATAGAATGTGTTAAAAATGCATTTTTTACCTTATTTATAAAAATAACTTTAGAGCATATTAAATTTTTTGGAAGGCTCATAATAAGACAAATAAAATGAACAAATAATATATATAGGGTGTCCCATTAAAAAAAACAAGTTTCAGTCATATTTCGAAAATAACAGCATCTAGCGAAAAACCAGCTACGCCATTTTTCGTCTTTTTGATAACTTATGCCGGGTCCAGACCAAGGCGACAAAAAGTAAACACAATTTTGAGACAAAAACAAGACAAACTTGCAACAAAAAATGGGGAATTCAGACAAGACAAACTTGAGACAAATTGTCCACACCGCAATGACAAAAGTACAACAAAGTCAAAAGTTTAGTTGTCTCGAATGAGCTTTGTTAACTATCTGTGATTTCACTGGTCTTCTACTGTTGGCAGCACACGCCATCCACACTGCGCCGACAACTTGTCGTAAAATATACGAACAAACATGAAACATAGACACCTTGATCTTTACCGATTCGAGACGGGACATTGAAAAGCCTCCTAATTTTGAAACAAAACAAAAATGAGACAAAAATATCGCAGAAATGTATTGGATTTGTCACAATTTTGTGGTAAAACATGAATGTTTCTGTCTTGTCGTTGTTTTGTCTGCTTGGTCTGGAGACGGCATTATAAGATAATCAAGATATGAGGGGTGTCAAAAAAGCATTAAACTCAAATTCGCCCTGTATTTTACGAACTAAGAATGCTAGGACAAGTCTATGTGTAGCATATTACCTTCATAAAAAAGTAGCAAAGTAATGTAAAAACTGCATCTTCGTACTCATAAACAAGAAACCCCATAAAACACATGAAAATAGGACACCCTGTATAGATGTGATGTGCTGTAGTGAAAGCAACGTCTACCGGCAGCCAGACAATACAGCACGCTCTTCAAGATAGCACAGCAAAAGATATATTAACGAACCAGCTTTCTTAAAATTCTTGTTTTCTTGATGTTGCTAACTTTCGTAAATATTATTTACTAAGAACAATCGTTTTTAAATATAAAACAAGCAAAGCTTTTTTTAATAGTAGGCGATAGTGGAATTATATACACATAATATATCGTCTATAGTCTGTCCAACGAGAAGATCCTTGACAGTGATAGATGTGTCTGTCATTTTAATTTCAAAATAGTTTTTTTTATTTTACAAAGAAATAAGTTGGTACAGCTGGAACGCATAGCAGGAAATTAATATATATATTTAAAATTTGACTGACAAGCATTTATAAGCTGACAAGTAACTTCAAAATATTGTGAAAAAAAACTGTATAAAACTGAAAAAATGTAATCGAGTTACTTTATTTAATAAAAAACGGTATGTGTTAATACAAAACAAAGAAAAACAAGACACCACATACCAAAAAATATAAAAAAGAACTATTTCTTACTTTCACGCTTTATGAAACTTGATGTACAAATACAAATTTGTAATATTCCGCAGGAATAAATAAAACAACATAAATAAAACAAACTATTTTACTAATAATAACACTTCCCAAATTTTATACCTCACAGGTTGATTAATTAACTTTAATCTTAATTTTTTTAAACCATTACCTTTTGACAGTATTTTTCTGCAGTACTAAAATCCATTATTTACCTATCGTGTGATGTCGATATTTTACAGCTACTCCAGTTTTTAGTATGTGTTTAGTATAGTCTTTCTACCATATTCGAGATGCACTTATCTACGACGAGATGGTATACGAACTTTATTGATAGTAACTTTATTGGTGTATCTGTATAAGACTTTCTGCCTGGGCAGCGAGTATTAACCATCAACTGTGCTCTGGGTTCTACAGTTAATTTTCACTCGATTTTTCCTCCACTTGACTTCAAAAGACACAAAACACACGTAATAACACAAATTAAAATGCATCATCTTTCAAAACGGAGAGTATTTGACAAGAGTTGTCACAAAATTATAACCTATAATTTGGCAAGACTTTGACAAACGTCAAAAATTTAAAGGCGAGTTCATACGCACCGGCGCACAGTGTGAAATTTACGGGGTTTAGCTGGAAAAAAATATTTCTGCGACTCTTTTAATGAAATATTAGTCTTTTTCGTTTTTATATAAAATTTTTTATCAAGGCATGGTAGAGCATGCACCCAAATAGTCGTAGTAGGGTATATACAGGGTCTCTCATAATGTTTGGTACATATGGGAAACTTTTTTACTATATTATCAGTGATTCATAAAATGTTATTTTTAATAAAAAAATTTGTTGATTAGATAATAGTTTTGAGGTTAGTAAACTACGGAGTTTAATATACGGAGTGTCTAAAATCCTACAAAATGTGGCGTTGCCGAACCAAAATACATAACCTATAAGAAAGGCAAATAAGAAAGTACTATATGTACAAGCAAAATACACTATAAAATTTTTGTGAAATGGTGCACAGCGCACATAACATACACACACACACACACCATTCCCTGTACACAAATACCAAAATGAATACAAAAATGGTCAAACTAATCTGAAAATCAATGCTTATTCTATTCCTATTTACAGTTAATAGTGTTCAGAATATTGTTATTCACTATCACTAACGCTACTGGATTCATAGTTCGTTTGCCTAGAAATATCCACCGATTTTGAGCATACCTAATACTTCTGGTAAAAGTTGTTGATGGTTGGTTTTTGGAGAAGAACGCAAACTGGCAATGAAAGGATCGGAGGTAATTAAAAGTCTATGCATAAGATCTTCATTTGTAGCTATCCTAGAAGATTTTCTGGTAAACAACTCACGATATTTTCTGTTATCCTTATTCCGCGCCTCCTGAGCTTCTTCTGAAAATTGTCCAATAGGCAACATAAAAGATGAAACAATTTCTGTCCCATGGCACAACAATTTATGGACGCTCACAGGCATGGGATACCAGGAGTATTCTTTTAAATATAAATCTCTGGTTTCACTGAGGTATTTCTCAAATTTATTTAAATCTATCTCGTAGCCACAGTTAAAAGTTTCCAAAATAACGCGAAACTTAACAATTAATTCCAAATTGATTTGGGTTATTTGTGCCGAAATATCTGCATTTCTGAAAAATTTTCTGGCTGTATTGCCATCATTTGTATTTCCAGCTTGTTGTTTCAGCATTTCTATTAGCAGACCTAATTCCATTCTGAACCTTTCTTGTATGTGTTTTTTTCTTTCTTGAACTAGTCCTTTGTTTTTTTCGCCTCTAGCCTGCCAGGATTTTATGTCTAGTTTATAACTTATATGAATAAGACACTCAAAACACTTTATCCAGGAATGTAATGGTGATAGGCCAAAAGATGAAAAGTTCTTGTCAACATGTTTTTCTAAAATAATGTTTGGAGAGTTCATATCTCTGGGCTTAGCTTTGCACAAATAACAGGTTCAAGTGGATGTAGTAGATGATAGGGAGTTGCACACTTTACCGTCAATCATACTTAAAACCATTTTTGTTGTTATATTTATGACTAAGTTGTTGACGTTAATTTCTATGGGCAAAAGTTTTTCAATCTGTTCCTCAATTTTTCTAACTTCGCTTCTAGTAACTTCCGGAGTTTCTTTACCAAAAAAAATCTAATCAGTCGACAATACCTTGTTGAAGATAGGGCGGGGTTTTTCCAAAGGACTGATATTGATGCTCCATTGTCAACATATAACTGAAGAGGTACCATTGAGATACTAAACATGCTTTCATCTGAAGCACCTTCCTGAACAAATTTTTGACGATATTTGTGTTGATCCGCTCCATCACAACCCCACTTCACGACCATAACTGGATTTTTGTTTTCTGGCGAAAAAGAGAATGCTTGAAATACGTCTTTTTGAGCATCATATAGCCTAAGAATTGTATGATTAATGAGTGATTGGAGTTTTATCTCTGCAGAAACTTCC